ATCAGCAGGTTTCCTATCCGCCGGTTGGCCGATGTCCAAAGTCAGTGTAGAACGAAGAAAATTAGGGCTGTCCTGATGCATCCATCGATGAATGGATGTCATCTTCGATAGTTGCAGGCATGGTAGGTGTCATTTTTCTTTGCGAAGGTCGCACATTCCCCTTGCACCCCCGATCACAAGCGTGAAATTATGGAAACCGGATAGAAGTCCGCGCTCCGATCGCGGCGAGAAAAGATGGAATCCTCCTCTATCAGCAGGTTTCCTATCTGCCGGTGCCGATGTCCAAAGACAGTGTAGAACGAAGAAAAGTAGGGCTGTCCTGATGCATCCATCGATGAATGGATGTCATCTTTGATAGTTGCAGGCATGGTAGGTTTCATTATTCTTTGCGAAGGTCACACATTCCCCTTGCACCCCTGATCATAAGCGTGAAATTATGGAAGCCGGATAGATGTCCGCGCTCCGATTGCGGCGAGAAAAGATGGAATCCTCCGGCGCAACCCCCATTCCCCGATGCATCGATACACTATCGATAGTTTAGGTCGATGCATCGATGTTTTGAAAACTGCTATCGTGACAGCCCTAGTTCATAGATGGAGTTCAAAATAAGGAATCCGGATCTGGTTCTTTCAAGGAGGTGGTGTCTCAGACTTCACAAGCTCTTCGGTACGAATTCCGTACACGTTCCCCAGCAACAGGTTCCTTTAGTTAATGCATTCGTACTTGATGAACCTTTCCAGTATCGGGGGATTATTTAGAATAAGCCTACTTTCCCATCACCTTGCTCCTCTCCAGTGCTTACTGCTTCAAATACTATGCGCTAAAAGTTGTCTCGTTCTTTCAGTATACAAATCCCAGAAGGAAGGAAATGAATTTCTAGCACACAATTTCATTGCGTGGTTATTGTCAAGGAAAGATGTTCAACATCATACGAAGATAAAGTTGGCCTAATGAGCGAAAGAAATAATTTAAAACTCCATTGAGAGCGGCTGTGGACTCTAGACTCATAAGGCCCTTCCTTGACCTGGCACTGGATCTTCCAATTTTGAGAGGTTACTAGAGCATACTCAGCTGCCAAGAAGCCACGAAGTATGAAAGAACCCAAGTCAGTGTTTTATGATCATAATTATGACTTCTATCTTACGAATCACAATATTAGTTCTAATATTCTTATAATATTAAAACATACTAGAATATGTTTAAATGTCCATCATGTCAGTAATGACAGCCTTCACTTTCACAGCACAGGATTATCCGACGCCATGCCCGATGCGAAATGCGTCGCAAAACTGCACAGTTGATAAAGAATGCACTACAAATAGCCTCTTTCAGTTTCTTCCAAACTTGGGAGTCACAGTTGTCTACCTCTAACAGAAAAACGCACCATGTTCCTCTGTAGTAGGAGGTAACAAGACATACAGCCCGCCATTGTTGGTATGGCTTGAGGATAGAGTAGTACACCATGGTGTATGTGTCTCAAAAAAACAAAAAAAACTAAGAGAAGACCCGCTTATCCCTTTGATCTGACTCAAGGTCAGGGCAGTGAACTTCGCAGAAGCTCCTTTGCATACGGTAGAAGGCAGGTCTTGAGGTGTGGTCTTCTTGCTCTACGATCGATAAGTGAAAAAGATCTGCCTCATTAAAAAGGAACTACTCATATTGAACGCACAATGGCTCCATCGTTTGAGGTTATATCTCTGGAACTAAATACACTTGGTCCAGAGATCCAATTTTTCTTTCCTGTCTAGAACCCGTTTTTCTCGATGCCCTTCAATGCCAAGGTTACTTCTACATTCACTTCGTTTGGGCTGTTGTAGCGTTCTCCGCGGAGCTCGTTCTTCTCGTGACGAAACATTCATTCCACTCCAATTCATCCAACGAAAAAAGTCCATTCATCGATTCCGATTCTTCTGATTTTGGTGGGAATAGGCCTTGGTAATGGGAGTCGCTCTGTATTTTCGTAAAAATTTCTGACCTCAAATAAAGGCAGACTTTTTTGTTTTTGGAGAGGGGCTTATTCTGCCAAAAGAAGGGTACCTTGAAAGACTCATCTGGAAAAGTTATGAAAGTACTGCTATGATTATGGTCTTATTTTGAGAGAGGTAACCCAGATGATTCTGAATATACATTTAAATCAGGGAAGCAGCGATATTAAAAATGAAAGTTGGCTCTATAAAAAAAAAATTGTTTGTTTTTGGCAAGGGGAGGCGATATTTTTCCCCCATCAGTCACTGCAAATTTATGATTAGAGAAACCAAAATGAATTCCTTTATCACTGGTACTCTGCTTACCATAACTTCTAGGAATGGCAAGTGGATTGGTTGTCTGGATCGGAATGTAGGCTCTTTGAAAATTGAAAGATAACGAAAAACTGCTGCCATTTTCAGGTCTGCCAGATGGTTGTTATGAAAAAATTCCACTAGTGCTCTGTTTTGTTTTGTTTTTTTTTTTGCTGTTATTTTTTTAAAGCTTTTTATTTGAACTTCGTCCCGTGCTTTGGCTGAGAGTTATGATTTTTTGAAGACCAGATACTCACCTGCAAAATATCAGTGTATCCACATCAGTTAATTTCTTCCCAAGTGTAGTATGATGCTAACTAGGTAAGAAGAATGCATCGTTCCATCGAAAATACATTGCTAAAAGAAATTGAAGGATATTTCAAGTTCTATGTGTTTTAATAATCAGTTTTAAGTATCAGTTCCTCTTCAAGTTTCAATCCCAAACCCTGAACTTTGAACCTTGAGCATTGAACCTCGTTTTCAGAGCACAAAATAAATCCCGGATGAAGAATAGAACTCCCAATCGACTGAATTTTCAATAACTTTACAAATTTTCAGCGAGTTCTACTTCCTAACATTCAAGTGAGACTCGTCTTTCGAATTTCGAACGTCCAAGTATCGGATGAAGAATAGGAGATGCGAATCGGCTCTATCGATCCGACCCGATCCACGGATCGGGCATGTACCTCGGTTGGCAATCTAGGTTTCAGTCGGGTGCAGGCTAAGACTTCAGAAGAGACCTCGAGTTCTCAAGCTTAGAGGCCTAAACAGGTTAGCGGGCTGCGGGCTACGGGCAATCTACGGGTTGAGCCCATAGAGTTCGGTCAGTGATCGAGTTTTGGGTCATGCGTGGGCCACGATTCGAATCGGGCCGAACGGGTCGGGTTAAAAGAAAGAAGACCCGTGCAGGTCTCCTTTATCCGGAACGACACATGTACACATAGCAACAACATACGTAGCGGACTTTTTGGACTTTTGACCCAATAAGTATCACCCCCTGTCATAAGCTTTCGATTGACACTTCACTCATGAAAATCCGTTCATCCAACTAGAAGTTTCCCGGAATTACACACGGACAGATTAGCCCCTTACGTATCCCAAGTAACACAGTATGTTCATGAAACGTTTCCGAAATGTTGCCTATGTTGCTCTATGTTGCAAGTTGATGTACAACATTGACAACACATTGCTTCAACGTTTTCACTTGAAATGTTGCTGCGAGACTTCTACGAATGTATTACAGTTGCTGTCAATATTGAGAGAAAGTTGACACTCCAGCAAACAAGGCTACGTTGGACCAACGTTGTACCAACGTTACGAACGTTGATTCAATGTTGATATAATGTTGATTAAACGTTATGGTTTTTAAATTGTTTGCATGGACTCTTGATATCGACAACGTAGCGACAACATTTCGATACAACATGGAGTTTAACGGTTTTTTGGGAATTGTAAAGTTTTTCTCCTTGCCACGAGATGGAGGCGTAGGTCTCGCTTTTCTCACAGTACACAAAATTGCCCTTCTCCCTTTCCCTGGAATCGTCCCGGACAGGAATGTACCTTGTTATATGTCTCGCATTGTCTCATTATAGGAATCAATGAACATGGACACTTCATTGCTAGTTATCCTCATACTCGAGACAGATTCATGGAGCCAAGATAAAAAAAACAAGCTCATATTTCCCAAAAGAACCCTTTCCAAGAACACATTAAGGAAATTAAAAACAACGGTAGAGAGTCTGTGATCTCAATCCATCATTTCCGTATCCTATGAACTAGATGAGGAAAAGAATGATATGTGACTCAAACGATAGCCAATTCAATATATTTTTATTGTGGAAAATGTCAGCATTCCATAAGAAACTAGAACGAAATTACACCATAATAAATGAAATTACCCATATCGTGCAGCTAAAACCTGTAAATATCACAATCCCTTTGAAATTCACAATTCCATCTCGAGTCTCGCAATTCATTCTTCCTGCAGAAGACAAATATTGCCATTTGGCTTGATAATTTGAAGAGAGCAAATTTCTGTAGGGAAAATTTGGAAATTTCTTCAGTTTGGATCCAATTGACTCAGTTCCAGTTGAGAAGATCATGAAGGCAATTCATAAGAGGTTTCTGAACCTGAAGAGATTCATCGGCGGACCTATGACGACCTAGATATGCTGAAACAGGTCATTAGAGATGCCTTCGCCATAGTTGGACCAGAGATGATTGAAATTGTTCTGCTGACATTCAAAGAGAGACTGCACCAGGTCATTGAAAATTGTGAAAGCCATGTTGAACACTAATGATTTGGCGGCTTTCATTTGTAAGGATATAACTTTCTCCTAGTTCCTTATAGAATGCTGAAATATTTCACAATAAAAATATATTGAATTGTCTATTGCTTGAGTCATATGTCGATGAAATCGAATGTATACTTCCTGAGTAATAAGCTTTTACTTTTGGGGAGGCAATTGTGGACCACCCTGTATATGGATAGATGGAGGGATATGTACAGTTTATGGATGCGGAGCAAGGGAGACGCACGGACTGCAGACGTACTGCAAATTATTAGTGCAGCTTTCGCTCGTCGCATGACTTGCATCATATCGGCTTGGAATTGCGCCTAGCTCCAGCATTTTCAAGCAAAATTACGAATGACTGAATGGGAGTCCTCAGGATTGGGGAAATGAGACACAATGAACTATGCATCCCTTTAATCTATTTCGAGATGTAAATGCATAAATATTTTTATAGATGTAAGCGGTGGAATAAACCGAGAAAATCTCACAATGAATCATGGATATGGTTGAGTGAAAGGGAATGATTCTCTACTTGTAGCTTTCATTCGCATTCACTATGTCAATCAGTTTCGGAATTAAGGAGAACCCAAGAAGCATTTCTTTCTTCATCACCTCTCCCTTCTTCCTGTTCTACAGATCCATGCTCAATGGAAGATATTTGCGTGGATAATCGAGGCATGGATGTATTCTGCAATCAGCTGATCTGTGACAGCTCTGAGAAAACATGGAATGAATTGTTTCGTAGACAAGGAGCTGTTAGGGATGTTATGTAAGGTGTAATGTAAAGGAACGAGACGGACAAGACTGAGTCTCTTCTTGCTAGGCGATCAGCACTCGGAAGTAGTTAGCATTAGCATTAGCATAAGCATAAGCATTGGGAATATTCATGAGATATGAGTGTCAGCCACGAAAAAAGAGAAGGCTATTCCAGGATACCCGCGGACCAATTTTTGGACATGTAAGCGGGGACAGGGGACCGAAGAAGGACTTGAATCTTGCTCCCTGCACTCCCACTCCGACTTCGGAAAGGACCCTCATCAGACTCTAATCTCAGGGGTCCATAAGATCGCTTGGCCTGCAATTCGCTTTCATTAAGGATCCGGGGGGAAGCAGGGGTCCTGGATCCCATATGCCTTTCCACCCACTTCAGGAGTGTCAAGACGGCATCGGGATCTGCAAGCCGATGATCCGCAGCCGAGCGGGTCTTCCTGGATATGGAAATGCGATAGGTGACGGCTAACCCCTTGAGGGCCGTGATGGCGTGTTCATCCGTGGTATCATCCCCGGCATAGATGACCTTGACGCTGTCCGTCCAGTCCACTCCGAAGGCGGCATGGAGGATATAGAGGACAGCCTTACCCTTATCCCATTGGACCGGTGGTCGGGCCTCAATGGCACAATGGGCAGCTGCAGGCAAGAACCCTGCTTCCCTAATCGCCTGCCCGCTCTTCACGATGATTTCCCGATGGTCACTCATCGAGGCCAGACGATAATGGACGGTCAACGAGGCCTTCTTGAACTCGACGAACGAGCCCGGGTAATTCAGGCACATCGACTCCAGCTTCTCCTTCAAATCCAATAACTGCGCATCCATCTGCTGGGAATGGGGATAAGTGTACCGTTGACCATCCGGGTGGAGGACCTCCAGCCCGTGGTTCCCGGCGTAGGTGATTCCATCCAGTCCGACCATTTTCTTCACATCATCGACTGATCGACCCGATATGACGGCAACGAAGACGTCTTCGAGACGACTCAGCTTCTCCAGGACGTTTTTCGTTTCCATGGGCAGAAAAGCCAATTCCGGTTTCGGTGCGATCGGAGCCAAAGTCCCATCGTAATCCAGGAGCAAGGCGAGAGTTGCTCGGTCCCCGACGTAAGACTTCAGATAATCAAATTCATCCAACTCGATGGGATTCAACGAGAGAGTGGATCCGAGCATTGGTTCATCCCTGATGACTTGCATGGCCTTGAGAAAACAATGAAGCCAGTGGTCGACATCGCAGACCTTTTCGCGTCGACGGAGATGGGTCATCCTCATCATCCTTTCGTCTTCCGTCATGGACAGGGCTCGGTGGAGCATTTCCGCCACTTCATTGATCTCATACGGATTGCATCTCAGGGCTTCCAGCATCGTTCCTGCCGCACCCGCGAACGGAGACAGGATCAACACCCCCGGGTGTTTCACCTATGGTGAGCATTTTGTCATCATCATCCTACATGACGAGATCGAGAGAGAGGCAGGGACTGACCTGGCACGCGACGTATTCCTTGGCGACCAAATTCATTCCGTCACGCAATGGAGTGACGAGGCAGACGGAAGCATCTCGATAGAAGGCAGCCAATTGTTGTTGCGGGATCGATCCATAAATGTACCGGATGGGAGCCCAATTGGCCGTGGTAAAGCGGCCGTTGATCCGACCCACCAGTTGCTCCAGCTCCTCCTTCAGATCCTGAATGCACAATCACATGATGTGAGCAGGTGGGTCACTCGCCCTCCCAGCGCTGCAGTGCGCTGCACCTCGCTGGGGTCCTCACTTAATCAGGAATACATCACTTGACTCGGTAGAATTTGGCAGTCTGGGGGTGAGCTACCCGTGACCGGTCTTAACCCTTTGGGGTCTGAGTATTTTAAATGTATTAGTACTGACATCCAAGTTATTTCTACCCTACATCATGAGGCCAACACGAGATAACTCTGGCGTGGACCCCAAAGGGTTAATCGTCGTGGATTGTTAACGCAGCGGCTCGGTTGTACAATAGTGTCCGTCTTCCGCCGCGGTTCCATCTCACGTCAGCCAAGCCGACGTCACATCCAACCGCAATAGCTACACTCTCCTTCCCGTCAGGCGCTCGACATTGTCGGATTCAAGTGTGAAAAGTGAAACCAGATTCACCACCTTGATGGCATTAATTTGGAAAATAGAGCACAAACCGCAAAAAGGATGTGACTGAGGATGCTTTCGAACGGCTGCTCCGTCCGTCAACCTACGGTATCATTGTTTCCTTTTTTGTCGTAAGTGCACCCCGCCCAGACAGGGGTACGGTGCTTCACTCTTTAGCAGGTAATGGATAAGTCTTTATCCATAAATATATCCAGTACATTTGGTATTTTAAAGCAAATTAAAGAAACCCCGGGACGGTGGAAACGGGTCAGAGGGAACGGGTTTCAGTGTAGTGCCATTTTTAAAAGTTCATTACAGAGAATCCATTTCCATTCCCGTGCAGCATACCCATTTCGAGGCTAAAAATCATCGTAACACTTTCTCGCAAGCTGTTAAGGCTTCCCCTCTGTTTCTAGAAAGGAAGGCTGTCCAAAGACAGTGTCTTCTTCAATTGTGAGCGTTTCATGGTTTCCTTGCCTAAACACCTCAAGATTGAGGAGGAATCACCTGTACATGGGCCTTCCTGGCATTCCAACCAAAATTTAATTCGTCTCATCCTGATATACAGTACTTTACTTTTCAACGGAGAATTAGTATGTGTGAAAATCTAGAGAATTGGCTACAATCCAGTACTTTCAGGCTGCTGCTCAGCGAGCCACCTCGGCTGGTGGATACCCCCTTCCTCAGTATTTCTTCCTACTTTACCGTTATTCACATCTATTACAGGCATGTTGCGTGACATATACATCCAACGGACATTGAAATATGACCACCCCCTCCCCCCAAATGGCAGAAAGTGCACTGTGCCATAGGAATAAAAGCACGTCGGAGCGAACGCAGTCATAAGTTCATGCGTGATAGTGGGTACTGCTAGCATGAAGTGTTACGTGTGAATATTATGGGAAAAGGCCGCGATTTGATGGACTTTGAACGAGGTGATATTAGGTATGAGATCATATGTCAATGTCCGCTGAGTGTATATCCATTACCACTCTCGGAGACCCGGCCTATTTCTAAGTATCATTTACCTCATGTCTGCTCCATATATTCCAACACTCTTAACCCGTTGTAAATAATGCATTGCAAGGTTTACCATTCAGAAACGTGCATATCAAGGGATCTCTCACAAAGCCTATTTCATTTTGTTTAATTTTCGTTAAGAAATCCAGTCACCTCTTCTAAAATTCACCATGGAGTGGGGAGGGGACGGCCTCCTCATAAGTATCCCACAAGCATAAGTGGATTCGTAAAAGTTTTTTTGTTTATTTATTTTATTTTTATTTTTATTTTTTAAAAAGACAGGACATACACGACAACGAGCGTACTTAAATGACACAGGGAGGAAGGGAATGCCCGCTTGGCACGAGCACCACAGCTCAATCGCAGTCCCTTAGGCTGGGACACCCTGTAGGAGGCCTTAGGAGCAGCTCACGGGTTGTCTACGTCCATGACTGGCACGAGTGGTTTTTAAGATGTACAACACCCGCGTTTCCTAGACGTGGCACACATAGTGGCGTAGTGTGTTATTCCACGCTAAGCAGACACTCCCCATGAAAGCAGGTGGGTCGCCTGTCCTGTCACCTGGGGAAGAGCCTGCCGCCACACGGGCTTCATTCGGAAGCCAGAACCACTCGGCCACCGAAACCCGATTCGGGTCGTGAAAGTTCCTAAGCATAGGGTTGGTGATGCATGTCATGGCTAGGAGCAACTTACATAACTATTTATCTGCTGTTTTCTAACTGGATCATTTCTTAGGTTCCAAGCTCGCTATTATAAGCGAGTTGTCCCGTTCCCCCGAGCAAGCATCCCCAATGGGCAACCACGAAAGAGACGCGAAAGAGTGAATGGAGATATGGGGGACCAGACCTGGTATTCTTTCACCTCCGTGCGGGAGGGAACGGCGACCTGGAGAAACGTGATCTTGCCCTTGTACTCGGGCCATTTCTCCAAGAATCTTTCGATGGACTTCAGACGACTCACAAGCCCCTTCGTGTAATCCAGTCGATCCACCCCCAGGACGATTCTCTCTGTAGATTGACACGACTCCGGGAGAACCTTTATCATCCAAGATCAGAAGGAAAAGGTAAAGATTATGAAGAGATTAACTACCCTGAATTTGAGGATACCTTGCTTTCTGATGAACCAAGGTATTAATGAATTTGCAACAGAGGCATTCCCACTTAATGGTCAAATAGAAATAGCGCCTCCAACTTGTCTTAAAACTTTGCTAGAAAAATTAACTTAATTTTACTGGATTTGCTTTAAAAATGTAATGCAAGGTGGTCTCTGAGTTATGTTAGAGCTCAAGCTCAAAGGTTCGCGAGATATGCGGCCCAAAATTTTGTAATTGGGGAGGAAAATTTGACCTCTATGGTTCGGTCTTAATTGAGACAAAAGTGTTTTTGGGCTCAAATTAAAGCTGGATATAGCTTAATTAGATTTATCCAATGTATTTCTCTGTATCATTCTTACAAGAATTTTAACAATTAAAAATGTGAGGAAAATGTACATCAACATTCCGAATAGTGGGAAACATGTTAGCACACTGAACTTTTGTCAAATTGGAGTACCACTCAATAGCTAGATTCCAGCGCATTACTTCGAATCAAAAAAGGGAAAAATTACATTTGAAAAGTCAATTTTTGCCGTTTTTCAGTAACTTCAAAGGTTTATATTTTCTGTTTTGAACAAAATACAAGCTTGGACCTGATGTTTAATGGAGGCACTCCTATATGATCAGTAGCTCGCAGGATTTTTGGAAAGGGGAGCACAGCAATAAGGCATTTTAATGTGAAGCTCATAGGAGGTTTTTTCTGTATCGCCTCATCCTGTGACCTTCAAACTTTCCTAGATTTTTCTACACACTATTAGAAGTTTCTGTTCCACATTTGACTCCTTCTAATCGTTGGTTTAGGGCTTTCAATAGGATTCCTTCCCATCCACCCCTTACATCATAACGTTTGGCCAGTTTTCTCTGTAGAAAAATATTCTACGCTCTTGAAGTCTCATTCAATTTCATAATACAGCTATAAGTTGGAGTGGCAAATTTAATGGAGATAGCTCAGCTCCATCTTGTTTTAGCAATTTCTATTGTAAGTGTATTTAATTAAGAAAAGGTGTTCCCCATTTTTTTAAAATCATTGTATTCCCTGGATCTGTATTTAGAACTGCGGAGAGCGGCCATTAGCAAAAATGGGTGCACATATGTCTGCCGTCCATGTAAATTTATGCAGCCTTCTGCTACTTAATCTAAGCAAATTTATGGCGTATCTTTATTCAGATATGGAATCGCGTTCCTTCAAAGTGTCAGATGATCTTCAAAAGACTAGTTATGCACTGGCCGTAGTTGAAATTGTATCACTTAGGAGTTGAGAGATATTGATGAAGTATTTGGTACACGAACTCCTAAGAGAGTGCGATGAAATTGATTAAAGTTTCAAGGGCCTAGGATGATTCTTCATGGAAATAACTCGCCTATTTTCCTCATGTAAATGGGAGGTGTGGTCATATTAATTGCTCAAGCCCGCAAGGTGCTTATTCAAGAAACGAGAAATAGGAATACCTTATGATGCTTAAGAATGTCGAAGAAAGTGTCATAGGATGAGGCGACAAACTTTTTAAAATTATTTTCAGTGGCAGGTATAGGCTATAGAATTTTTAAAATGATTTTAGGTTAGGGACTCGTTTTGTCAAAGGGGATCCTTCAAAGCCTCACCTCTGCAAAAGTTGTAAAAGTAATACAATGTAAAAGGTTATATGGAGAAAATGTTGAGTGTGACCATACTTGAAAAAAAAAAGCCAACAATGAAAACAAGCTTTCTGAAAGTTTCCAACTTTCGGCAAAACTTCAATTTTTTGTTTTTTATTTTATTTTAAATGTCTGCTTACTGAAATCGCAGCATTTCTCTGTCACTGGTACTATTCGTCACACCTCTTCCTAAAAAATACTAACATTCGTACCAGTTTTCTCGGGAAGACAGGAGGAATTACATGGCGAAATCCCCAAAAGCGACTTGCCCGTTCCTCCAGTCTGCTTGATTCGATTGTCATAAAAATACCAATGATTTTTCTTTTAATGCTCTCGCAAATATTTCTGATGGAAAATTGGGCCCATGCTCTGGTTTTGAGCTACATATTTAAAGAACATATACTGCTTGATATGAAAACCTCTGGTTTGTTTTCGCCGAATTTCTTTAATGACGATTAATACCTGATGAAAAAAGGAAACTGAAAAGTCTTCATCTTTCTCCTTTTCTCTATCTTCTTTTCCCTTTCATACTCAGCGTTCCTGCTAGGTTAGTCTTTTTCTTTCCTTATTCTGTCCATTTCTAGGCTGCATCTGTTACAGGGAGGTTGTTTCTTGTCAGCTCACATATGTGTCCAGTGAACGTAACAGGAAGCTCTTAAAAGTGAGACCATAATCAATGTGCTACGTTAGCAACTTTTGCAGATATGAGGCTTTGAAGCCTACGTTTTGCAAAATAAGCCTCAAACCCAAAATTAAAATAAATTCTGAGCCAGTACAAAAGGTCATACAAATTTGGGGCAAATAAGCAAAGCGACTCTTATCACTAATATTTATCGGAAAAAATATACGTGGGGAGAGAAATCGGAGTTGGTCAAAGAATAATTTTTTCGATTGGGCGACTTGGGATGGAGTGACTCAGAAGTATTTCTACTGCATTAGACTGGCTCACCTAATTTTTTTTTAATTCTCTGACAGAATACCACTGACATGTTGACATACTGCGCAAGTTTGAGAGAAAGAGAGAAAGACAGACGCTGGGGGCATCCTTGGCGAGTTCTTCGAAGCGGGCGAAGGGGACCCCGATGGGAAGAGGTCGAACACGAACGGATCTTCCGGCGAATTCCACCAAGAAGTGACTCCGGTCCACCCTCGATCCCAGCTGACGACGACAACAGTCCACAAAGTTGAGGCAGTAATCCTCGATATGGAAGCCCACCACATCAAAGCCTGCGCACATGAAAACTTCATACTATAGACACAGACTTTCGCTGCATGAATGTGAATGGGAACATTTGTGAAAGCCTACTGAGGAGTCCCATCAAGATTTCATCGTTCCAGGGGAAGATGCGAAAGATATCCCAAGGAGGGAATGGAATATGAAGGAAGAATCCCAGTTTCACCTTGATCCCCTCGGCTTCTGCCATGTCCCTGACGGTACTGGCTGACACCATTAGGTGATAGTCGTGGATCCAGACGAGGACTTCTTCATCCGAGGGGGTTCCCGTGGATTCCAATCTCTCTACGTAAAGTACACGAAGGGCTTCCAGGATCTGACCGGCAAAGATCATGTTCACGCGATTATATGCTTCCCAGCTGGCTGGGTCGAACACCGCTCGGTCGGGCATCAAATGAAATAGCGGCCATAACGTCCCATTGCAGCATCCATGATAATACTTCTCGAAGAGCTCCTTGTCGATTTGGACCGGGATCACCTGTTTCGGCAGAGACGGGAGCAAAGATAAAGACGTGAGAGTTCATTTTCAGTCAGAGAAATTTTAAATGAAACGACTCAAAAAAAAGGCTAAAGTATAGCGGTACTGTACATGGAGCAGGGGTCGAGACCGGGACAAGAGGACTAACGGTGAAACCTCCCTAGAAATATTCGAAGGAAGGAAGGATATTGCACGAGAGACTTGAACAGATATTCAAGGGAAGTGAGAGGCCCTACATGTCAGGGATTGCGTTAATTTGACATGTTGATAAAACCGAAGCAGGTGGTATGAACATCCAAATTAGGCAGCGCTGTGCAACGAAGACGCAGCATTCCCTGCTTCCACCTCTTGCTGGTCTTTGCCTCCCTTTTTAGTGGGCCTTCTTTCAGAAACAGAAAAAGGCCACTTATAGTCTCGTTCTGTGTCTGTTTCCACTTTTGTGGTTCGATGATAAGTGAAGAAGTTATCGCCTTGATGCAAAAAACGATACACAGACACAGGCTTGGACACAGTGAGTTCGTTTTATGATCATATTAGTGTAATAACAGGCCCGTTGTGGGAAATTATACAATTAAAAAAATAATCAATTCAAAATTTAAAAGTGGCGCTTCCTTGGTCCCAACTTTGAAGTTAAAATTGGAACCTATTGACAGTACCTAGTTATTTCCATATCCTTCGCATATCAAAGTACAATGAAGTTCCAATTTAAAGATCATTTGAGTGTCCTCCGCGCGCACAGCTTTTCATTCTCGTTGTCTCACTTTTACTGATAATTTTGATTCATCAAATGGAACTTTTTAAAAGACACTTCTACTTGACAGGCTACTGTAGTGGGCCTACCTTCTCTACCTATTCTTCATAAGTTCCGATAATTTTTAAATCTGTTCATCCGCACCTATAAAATAAAAAATGAAGCCATAATTTCCGCTTGCCCTTAGACTAAGTGCGAAATGAAAAACGGTTCTCCCACGGGAAAGCTGGAAAATTTCCCTTTCTCTTTAACCCTTCAATGTTGGCTTTTCTTCGAAAATCAGAGTAACGAATGTCCCGGCACCTGTTGATTTTGGAACCCCCATGACCTTTGACCTCCAGGTACTTCCGGATGTCCGTCTGACATTCCGTGCTCTAGGAATCGCACTTCTGCCTGTACTGCTTATCTGTACTGCCCAAGAGTGTCTCGGGAAAAAAAAAAATTGGCAAGTAAACGATCCTGGGTGTATCTCGGGCAAATCACGGAAACGGTGTGGAGAACAGGTATATGAGAACCTCTAGAATGTCCTACACATGTCCCGGGTCTATTCCGAAGTATAGCAGGGACGTCCCATGTGGGTGCCATCTGGACGCTCCTCGCACAGATAAATCGCTTCTGAGAAGGCGTCGGAATCAGATTTCCTCTTCTTTTGGGCTAGAAGTCCCTGGATGTCCTCCGAGCATCCAAAGGATCTCTATTCGTAAGTTAAAATATTCGGATATATTATATATGGGAAAGTCTTCCTCAAAAGCCATCGCTGATGATAATTTCTTGAATTAATTGCTTGCAGAGAAGGGATTTGAAAATGAGTACTAACAAATTACTTTGCCTGACTGAGAAATTGATACTTTCCGTTTCGGAAGAATGGAACTGTCAGCTGCGAAGGCTGGGAGGGAACTGCCACCTCGATCAAGACTGCGCCTGCTCGATTAAAAGCGCAGATTCAGGAAATGTCACGGTTGCTGATTCATTTCCCCCGCTAATCAAGTTTAAAATGTAGAATTCGATATTTAAATTTTATATTGGACACGAATTTCGCCGATTCTTGCTTATATTTAGATGGATACCGTTGTAGATGATCAGTGAGATCAATCAAAGGAAATCGTTTTAAATCGAAAAACTGACCCTACCATCTGCTATCTTCCCGTAGGTAATCTAGGAAATGGCTGATAATGACCGCAGAGTAGGTTTTTTCCTTGTCGAGGAAAAAATATCCAGATTTACATCTCTGTCATGTATGTAAGGATGTCATGGTCATCGAATTGATAGTCAAAATGAAAACAAATTGATGGAGCTCCTGAAGGAACAGTGCTACAGTTGAATTTATCGAGAGAGTGATTTGCAAGCAGCGATGCTGAGGAACTGAATCGGAACCTTTTCAAAAGCAATTCTTGTTTCTTGTTTCAGAAACTTGAGATAGGAATAAAATGTCTTCTCGCTGAAAAAAGTTTCTGATTCTCATTTCTGGCGCAGGGAATGCACCAAAAAGTTAGGAAGAACTTCTCCGAGGCCATGTATGGTCACGTGTCTTGTTAACCCCTACTACCGAAGAACATAGTGTTTTTTCTGTTGCAGGTAGACGACTATGACGGACAGTAGCAACTACAATGTGGAATATGGTGTGTAAATGATCACATGGGTGCACGGGAGGCCTCTTACACGAGAAACCTTGGCAGTCATTTGATATTGTTTTGGGAAATTCACTGACATAATGAACATTTAAAAATATTCTATTATGTTAATATTATAAGAATAGTAGAATTAATATTGTGATTCGTAATTCAAAAGTCATTATCACAAAAATGTACTTTTAACATATGCATATATTTATTTAAAAACACAGCATTGCATGGCATCATGTAAGTAAACCCAGGAGATAACAAGACATATGGCCCACCTTTCAGGGAGTCCGACACGGTACAAGTTAACCCTTTCGCTCCTAAGCAGAATTGTATCCCATTCGGAAGAGCTTTCTACGGAAGGGATTCTAAGGGTTAAGATCAATAGTACATCGATTGTCATGTCCCTGAAATATCTTATGGACACATTTGTGGATCACGGTGTTCTGGGGATGTCCCTAAGATTTCCTATGAAGGCTTCAGCCAGATACCACGTATGACATCTCTTGAAATTACCCGCAGCTTTTCCTGCGATGTCTATCGATCCTAGTTGAGACGTCTTATGATACCACGGGGTCGTGTTCCTCCTCCTTGAGTCTGCTCCGCCGTTTGGCGTTTCGATTCGCCTCGACGCTGAGCTGGAGAGGAGTACCTGAGAGGCTTTGATGCCTGCCGTGGGTGTCTTGTCGTCGGGTAAGGCCTCCGGGATTTGATCATGAACAGAAAGGTCGTAAGTTCCGGGCCATCCCACCCATAGACTCCCAGTTTCTGCAACGACCGGTGCCACCGCCGTGACCAGCCCTCCTGCGCTAGCTCATCCGCAGCAATAAAAGAAACACACATTTTTGTTAAATTTTCTTGCGTTGGTGGAGCATTGATTAACAATATATGGTAATTATATTTGCTCATACCGAAGGAAAAAACTTTTAAATTGAAGTGAAAGTTTGAGTTCAGAATTTAAACATTCACGTGCTGCTGCGAAATAAATAATAATTGAATGTCTTCCTGGAAAAAATACGCCTCAAACAAAAGTGGCTTGAATAGTGGTGAACTTCAATTCTCAATGCTCGGTCCTGTTATATCCTGTTAGAGAAGGAAAACTGCTCAATATATCAGGCTAAGACAACTCTGACATCATAGAAATAGATTCCAGTAGAGATAGGACCGGCTCGATAGTTTTCGTAGCCATGTGCTTCAATCGACAAGCTATTGAATATTTACGAATGCGGATCACCTTCATCCTGAAACATCATTTCAATTTCTGTCTTCCGTAAAAATGAATTCTTCCGTCTCCTTCCATGAAAAATGTCCGATTTCAATCGAGTTCTCCCGCTCCTTCTCGGCCGACTCAATTCCTCTTCGAGGCTTGCATGAGCATGCGCCGTAACGGATTGAAGTCTGACTTTTTCATCCGAGGTGCGGAAAAAGTATTAATTTTGCTGAGAAATGCTTTTTTTTGTTAATAGGTCATTCCAAGAAAAAACTTAGCACTCTCCCCGAGCTTGAATGGATATTGCCTTCTCTTTCCTCGTTCATTGCTCGATATGCCGCGAATTGATCACGATGATTTCCTTTTTGGTTGGAAGGTCTCTTAGTTCCCCTTGACTTAGATTATAATACATGACGATTCATGTAGGAGTTTCGATAGGGGTATCGAAGAATCGAGGAAACATGGAAGGGATCGTCCTGTCTGCTATCTCTCCATCGCTGCTTTTTTTGGAATGGTTTATTATCGAAAATAAATACGATACGCACACCGACGTTATTCCTCAGTGAGGCGGAAGATGGCGCTAGTGGGACTCGCCGAAGTATCGCGTATGTAATTCGAGGCCGTGAGTCTGACGCGTCAAACGATCTCAATGAGTTAAATGAGGGTCTGGAATAAAAATGGAAGGCTTTCCATCTTGCTCTCGCGGTTGTAACATCACCCTTTTCGCATGTGTCGCACCAAGGTTATTGAGTCTTACTCAATTGAAATATTCATTGCCCTTGCGTAATTCCTATCCAGCTGATAGCACAGGTCACAGCTAGCACAGGCAGGAAAAAAGAACCACATAAGCCCACGAGAAAGAAGAAAAGTAACCGATTTGCAGCAGAATTTCATACCTGTAGTCACGATGCCACTCTTGTGGCTCTTCGATTGCTGTAGGTGGAAGGAGACTCTTGAAGAAATCTTTAGAACTCTGGGGGACATAGTATATTGCCAAGAAAAGTTTTGGAAGTCTTGCAGAAGAGGAGTGAAATTGGCTACCTGATTGTACGATGGTCAGTCAAATAAAAACAGGAAATTACTTTATTTCCTCCCTTAAAGCTTCTGAACTAAATTCTTTCACAAGCCTTATTTTTCTTCGAATTCTTCCTCCTCGCATGTATTTTCTTTTTCTTTTCAACTTTATTTATTGACGTCATTTGTCCGCGTTAGGATTGGTTTGTACCAATGAAGAGATGCGCTTCCGTCTCCTCGTTGCTGAGGGCAGAATTGGTAGCAAATTTTTTTTTTCGTTACCATTATTATTTATTATTTACGAATTGTGACGTGGGTCCACTACCACACATCAGAAAGCAAGCACGCCAGCATGGAATGGCGTCATAGGAACTCTTCTCCTCCACCCCCCTCTTCAGAAATTCAAGGTCGTCTCATCTGCCGGGAAACTGATGCAGGCCTTTTTTAAAAATATGAATGGCATTCTTATGACTCACTACCTACGTCGCAGATCTACTGTCAACAAGGACTCGAACTCCTAGTTGCTGCGAGATGAACTGAAGCCAGCAATTCGAACAAATACGTCGCGATATGCTCAAGAAAGGAGTGTTTCTTCTCGACAATGCTCGCCCACACACTGCACGACAGACTATAGATACCATCAACTGTCGCGGATTTGAGGTCCTACCGCATCCAACTTACATCCCATACGTGGCCCCGAGCGAATTTCGCCTACTTGGATCTTTCAAGGAAGCGCTGGGGGAAGGAAGTTCAAGTCTGACGACAAGGTGCAGGTGGCGGTGCATTCATGGCTGCAGGGGCAACCGAAATCCTTTTTGCTTCTGGCTACAGAACACTCGTGAGATGTTGGCAAAAATGCATTAATAAGTAGGGGGATTACATAGAAACATGATGTACTCATCACGCCCAGGCATACATAATACTCGTATGAGGTTATTTTACCCAATGTCCTGTTTTAATTTGACTGACCTTTGTAAAAGCGAAAAAAAATTCGAGATGAGAGAAATACTTTTTAAGATTCGATGGCTTGCTTTTTCCCTCGTCTCCATCGACAGAAGGCAAACACAATGCTGTTGAGTTTGAAAAGAAGTTATTTAGCAGAGATCGAAACGAAGAACGGTCTGGAGAACTTTTCAGCAAGGTGTACTTTGGTGGAAAAAGAAAGGAGAGCGAGCGAGAACTGTCGTTCCTATGGCTTGAAATCCGTTCCTTTTTTTCTATCCCTCTTCATATCCTACACAAAGCCAGCCTTATCCAGTTGACTGCTAGGTAGGTCACACCGAGAGAGCATAGCGTCAGCAGGAAGTGAGAACGAACGTGCAGTCCAAATCGCTCCGCTCATTACCTCTTCTATCTATACACCTAGCTCTCTCCAAATGGCTTCGTTGGTTTTGCACTCCACTCGACTAGGGACTCCCTCCAAGCAGTGGCGTAGCGTGGTTGGCATGGGCCCTGGTGCAAGGAATGAAAGGAGGTCCGCTGTCCAATTTCTTACTATTGGATTATGTGGGAGTCATTTGTTTGCTAGTTTTCTCCGGCAGCATATAAATCGTCGTCGGTAGCTGAAGTCAGTGTAGAAAGCATGGCGGATACATAAATTTATCATAGGGTTTTGCCTATTTATTACCTGTTTCCTAGTTCCCAGCCCCCCCCCCCCCCCTCATCTACCACCACCCTCAGTCCTATAGCCTTATTCATTTTTCGTCTGGGGTAAAAACCCGGAATATCCATTTCACAGGAGCTAATAAACGTTAGTTTATGTGCTTTCTAAATAAATAAAAAAATAGACTGCGAACTTGGCCAGAGGAGGGGCAGTCGCCCCCCTCCCCCCCCTCTCCTGGATCCGCCTCTAGTGAAAGGGTGAATGCAGGGCCCGATCAAGAAGTTGCGAGGCCAGGGGCAAGTGAATTCTTGGCCCTCCCCCTGCTACTTTACGCAAATACTTAACGTGTTTAATTTCCTTCGAGGGCCTCCTGGAAAAGTGGGGCCCGGGGCAACAGCCCCCTTTGCCCCTCCCCCTTAATCCGGCCCTGGGTATTGGAAGTGACCACCACTTCATTTAACCACATGAAGCGGCGTCCCAGTTGCGAGATGTCTCTGTGCAGTGTCGCGCTGAATTCCTTTGATTCATTTTGACCTTCCTTTTCGGCTGCTAGCTCTCACCTCGTCCCGATGCCAAGGAGCTCCCAGCTAACGCCTCCCCCCCCCCCCCACCCTCCTCCCCTGCCTTCCCCTCCCCTCCCCTCTTCTTAGCCCGGCGTCTGGGCTCCTCTGGCCCGTGGGCCCCGGTGCAGTCCCACCGCCTGCACGTTTGGTAGCTACGCCACTGCCTCCAAGATATCGAGGGGATGGACACGTTTCAAGACAAAACGAAACCATTACGGAATTTCGTCCATGATGGTCGGACAGCCCTCAGGGATGTTTATCGGGAACTGATTTTGAAACTACGAGCGGAAACCTTAACATTCATCTCCCTGTCATTATCTCCTCTGGACTACAAGCTCAGAAGTTGAGCTGCGCCCCTGGGATGAACCTAAGCTCATACTCAGCGTGGACGAGTATGATTCCTTCGCCCAGTCGGACATACATAACATACACATGGATACAATAACTGAGGCAAAATGATGCAGATACAAGGAAGCTTGACTCATTTGACCTTCGAATTCTTTCAATATAAAGGAGAGACACAGCTGAAAGGCATTCCGGCCTATTTTCGGCAGTATCGTTCCAGGCTAAGGAGGTACTCAGGCCAGCACTGACGAGGCAAATGGATTCAATTGCATTAAAATGAAAGGAGCAAAATGAACCTTATGCGATGGTGTCTCGTAATGGTGCCTTGAGTTACATTTCTTTTGAATGAGCGTTATTGCAAGGAAAACTTACAGAATGTTCGCGGAATTAAGGAAGAGTGGCTTCACAGATAACGCCAGTTTTCTTTACTCCTAAATTAGCCACTTCGCTAATGCTCCACTTTTTAGTGTTTGTGCGAAGTCATGCAGTAAACAACGTCTCCGAAGGGAATTTCGCCAACTTGCTCAGTCGATGTCAGTTATTTGAGATGTATGGATCAGCGTAAGGCTCATGAACGTTAGGCTTTTGAATTGGCCATCCTCAACTTGTTCCAGCATTTGATGAACGTCGGTTGAGTGGGATGTGGGAAGTAGGGATCCATGGTTCAGGTCGATGCAGTGGGCTGATGCATGCTAAACATCCCATTAAGCTAACGCCGATTAAATGTTCGAAATATTGGCAAAATTGCCTTTGACGTCACTCAAAATGTTAAAGCGGACAATGGCCTACTATCGGCATTCTGCATGTATGAGTTATTTTTTTAACTTAACTATGAAGCTGAAGTCAATCAACATCCCCTCGAATTTAAACGTGGAAACCAATATCGTCCCGCAGAAGAACCCCAAAATCTGAGATAGGGCCTTAAGGGCGATCATACCTTGAAATCTGTTATTTAGCAAGTTTTCACTGAAGCATTCTAGCTTGGCTCCGACGGGGTTGAATACAAGTAACATAGGCAACATTGACTTTAGTAACATTTTTCGTTATGTAATACTTCGGTGACACGACTGTGACGGTCAACGTTTCGATAGTGAGTACGACTTTGATAACCGAGAGCTCACATTTACCTGTCATAGGGTTCTATGGAGGAGGGCTCAACCACGACGCAGTACCCGGCGAAAGCAGTGACGTGTAGCAACTCAGTACTTTGGATGACTATGGGCATGATGAGCATGATCCGAGAACGGCCTGTAATCCTTGTTCTTTTGTCCTACAGCGAGGAAATCTTGTACGTCATGAAAGGGGAGGATAAAGAAAATAATGGTTTTAGAGAAATCGTACTTTTCTCATTTTTTCCAATTTTATATTGCCTTTGTGATGGGAACTCGACTGATCCAGATTTACTACCCCAATCGGTACCGTCCCGGTCCGAGACCACCCACTTCGATCCTAAACGCTTTGAAGTCAGTTGAACGTCTTCCAATCCTGGATTGATTAATCATTTACCCTACCTGTTGACATGATCTGTGCCGTGCCACAAACAGGTTTTTTGTGAGATCAAATCGATTATTTGAATCTCTTTCACCACTTGCATCGACGGAGTGTTGAGCCAGCACTGGAGCCTTCCTATACTCCGAGTGGAACCGGTCAAAACCGGAGAAGTTGGCAACCCTCTGCGGGGAACATGATCAGCATATGATCAGCACGTGATCCTGAAGGTTGCAGAGCCACTCCATCCCTGCGCCCCGGGCTGAACTACGATGTACCTCATTACATAGCGCCACTTTCAGCCGCATGGACATTCCTAAAGATGAAGTCACTCTCAAGTCAGCCTGTTGCTCATTTGCAACGAATTGAAGTTCTAATTGAATAAAGAATGCTAAATATTCAAATAAATAAAAAAAAACAGAAAAGTTATGATTTTATTATTGAGTACCTCCCTGATACCTCTGCTCCAGAACCCGCTACATTTCTAAGCAGCACCAAAAAAGTCAGTGTTAGAGTAACGGGTAAATTCTTCTTTTTGAAAGAACGGTACATAAGCAATTTTATGGCATGAAGTAGCCTGGTTACCTTTCCCATCAGCCTCCTGTCGACATTTTCTGAGAATCTCCGTGTTTTTTTAGCCTTTGAGAAGAAATCAGATGGATATCCAGAATCTCGCAACTTTTTTCCTGGCAAATTTCGTCCACATTCCACATAAGTTTTAGCACATAATCGTGCTCACCTTTCCCGATAACCACTGATAACTCCTCTTACCACCGATTTTGTCGAATGAACACCATTTGATCGATTGCCAACAAAGAACGAGAGAATGAGTAGACACATTGCGAAGAAACGGTAGACACCCTACATGGGAATAACACTACCGACTCCGGACGAACTCAGATTTCTCTATAAAATCTCCATTTTTTGTTTGAAATGGAGAATCTTGAATCCTTGAGGTAGCTCATCCTTAAATTGCTTCGATGATCCACCTTGAATGCACTTGCATTTGAGCGGGTTTCTGGGCGCAGTTTTTACACTCAGACTATTTTACCCTGCATGTCCAGATATTGGAGAGACGGGATGAAGAGGCCCGGCTTATTTAAGTACTTCATACTATCTATTGAAATGAATCAGACCAAAAATGCTCTATTTTCATTCAATATCTTGGCGAGACAAGCGCATGGAGTAATGGCCTACACCACTATTTAAGCCTCATCCTCCAGTCACGATACTATTTTTTTTTTAAGCACGGCTTCTTGAAACGCCACAAGGAGTGCGTGAACGAGAATGAGAATTACACGCGATGTGAATTGCGCTACAGTTTTTGTCTGGAAATTTCAAGGAATTTCTTGGCCTAACACCAAGGTGACAGCTTCCAATTTTTTTACACTGAAAATATTTCATAAACGCGAAGGCAATAAAGGTAGCTGACGGAGATCTTAGAAAAAGAAACGGAAGAGAAGGAATTGAAACAGACCTGGCATGTCGTTCCCATTTCCCCGTGTCGGTATTTTTTTTCAAGACGAATGGGAGTCGATTGGAGACGATGATCATGGGGGCGAGTTTCCCCGCCCCTTCTTCACTGCTCTTCATTCTAGATTACTATTTCCCTACTTTATGGGTTTTTGTGTTTCTTTCACTCCCTCGAACGGCTGCCAGGGACGGACTGCGGGCCCAAATGCATGCAGAGAGCCAGAAAGGGGAGGAGAGAACGTCAATTATACTCAATGGCCCAGACGAGATGAGAGATGGTATAAAATGGCCTTGGCAGAGTTGTTGCGGTGAATAAAGAGATAGAGTGATAGAGATCGGGGGACGCAAAAAGCCGGTTTAGGAATGGTTACGTGATCCTCATGAGAAAGAGTCATCTTCCGCATCCGTATCATACACGCACTGGTCCTCCCCAGAGGCCTCGTGTCCCTCTCACCGCCGAACACGCACACACACACGCACGCACGCACTGGTCCGAAAGGAGTCGTCAGACAATGTTATTCTTGGAAAACGTGCGTACGGATGGAATGTAAATATCGATCCAAGTTCGCGCAGGCGAACAGTGGTAATTTCATCGCGCTCTCATGAACTCATGCAATGATAGGGAAAAGGCTCCTAAATCATGATTTTAGAAGTGCCCTCAACCACCCTCAATTTTTAGAAAACCCTAATTATTTATTTTCCCTCGCTGATTTTGCCCTGAGAACCTCATGTAGGAAAATTATAAAGCTTCTTTTTCGTCTACACGCAATGTACTTGCCAGAGCCATCCGCAGTTCGCTGTATTCGCTTATAGATCCCTTACATGACCTACAGATGTCTCTGGTTCTTCCAGGAGGAGGAAATTTTCCAAGGAATCAAAACTGAAGAGAAATCTTTAAAATTCAAAGTTATGATAAGTCTACCTTTCCCCTCGTTCCCCCCCGTACAATCGACAGCATCTCTCCATATCTTTCCCTCCACAGGGAAATTGGAAACGGAGGGAAAATTGAGCCTGTTTCATTGGCATTTACCGAGGAGGGAATGTATAGGATCATTGCAGGAGTACTTCCTGCTTCTTACCTGTTAGGTCAGAAAGAAGTATGTTATGAAAATGCAATAGTTTCCTTGGTATCATCCTGAAGCAAGAGAAATAATAGCAATTAGACTCACGAAATGACCCATCCCTTTCTTAGATGACGGTTGCAATCAAGGAATCGTAGAAGATATATTTCAACCACCTCAAGGAAGGAAGAAAGATACCTTCAATACTGAATTCGCTCCGACCCATAACTCTAAGGTATGAGAAATTATTTGCGATTCTCTCGTGCAAGTAGAATATTGATTTCATCCATATTCTTCTGAATGATTGCTAATGAGACAGTCTCACTTTGCTTCAGTCCTACTTCAGAAGGTGCATGAGATTTTCATTTTCTTTTCATTCCGTTCAACAGTAAAAAGTTGTCGATTTCGATAAGTTTTCTCGATTTCCCTATCTTGCTACCTACTCAAAAAAGGAAGCATTATTTTATTTAATGTTTTTTTTATTATTTTAATTACAAGCCTTTGATTTACTCACACGAATAAAAGTTCCAAAGATGAGTACAACATTCATGAATACAACGAAAAAGTGGAAACGGTTTGTTTAGTGAGATATCCTACTTAGGGTTGCCATCTTTGAATTTATCAAAATATGAACATATGGACAAATATTCGAAGTACATTCGCATATGTGGCTATGGTGCTAATACCCACAGCCACCTTAAGCCAAGGCGCCAATCGATACTATTGGAGTGTGGCCTACTGCTTTTGAACTACGCTAAAGGGCAGTTTTAGTTGCTATTAGGCTTTATTATTAAAAAATATTAACAAGTTTAACATATGGACAAAACAGTGTCTATATTAACACATTGAGCCCTGCAGTCGTCATATGATCTCCTACGCCCATTGCGCATTCAAATTACCAATAATAGTTTCGTTAGAAAGTACCATTTGGTTGGACCAAAATCACTGGCAAAGTCGCTTTTCTTTGCACTGCGTGACTTTCGATTTCAAATAAGATTTATAGAAGTAGTGGCAAATCGTGCGATGAAATTTGCCAACCGTAGCTCTGGGACTGATATAAGCTAGTCAGACGCTCGCTTTAATTATGTCCAATGGAAATGTAACAAGAAATATTACAATGAGAATGTAAAGCTGCGCGTGCAGACCTTATTAGAACTAGAGTAGTATTCGTGGAATGAGTGGTTGAATGGATGCTCCTCTGCTTCGAGTGTCCTTCCGACTCTGAATCCTCCTCGCTCCGAAGGAGTGAGAGTTGAAAGATCTCATTTCATTAGTGACAAAATGTATATTTGTTGCGGAAAGCCCATCACACTACATTTACACAGAAACCTTGAGGGATACACAGTCAACGTGAAGAGCCGTATCGAGGGGGTTGCGAGCGGTTCGCCCGTACAGGGTGCCGTCCTGAAGGGGCGCCGATTGGCCGCCAAATCACTACAAAATTTGAATTAAAGCGTTTAGACATATAGGAGGAGGGGGGGGGGGGGGCGTTGGATTGATAGCTCGCACAAGGCGCCAAATATCCTCGGTACCGCGCTCTCAAGGTGAAAGGGTCCGTTTTCTGGTCAGTTTGTTTTTATCTTCATTTTACCAGGATGTTTTCGAGAATCTGTCTTAGTGTCCTTCATGAGAATGTTGAGCCATCTCCGAAAAATCAATGGGGGCATGGGTATTGAGCCAACAACGAAGAAAGCTTAGGCACCTGAACAAGAACACCTGTTCCTGTCTACTCTTCAATCTTGTCCAAACGTTTTCGTTGGCTTAGATCCCAGCGAAATAATGTGGAGATAAGAAAAACATCCCAGAAGAGTCGGTAGAGAATACATGTTCTTTTATGTAATGCCACAATATATATATATATACCGATATGGACATACACGCTTCAACTTCTCTTCCCTTGGTATGGATGGATGCGTGAATATCTCAAAGACAATAGATCTGCTACTTCATCCATCTTCTCCAACACCTATAAGGAATGAAACGAGTCGAGGGTTTGCTTTTTTTTTCAATAACCAAGACCAGTCGTGAAAGTGGGAACGAAAAAGGAAAAGAGAAGAGATTCCTGGACCAGATCAAGAGTCTGCTGCGTATGACTGGCCGATAGACAGATACGGATACGAGTCTGGACCAAAGAAGAACTGGGAGGACCAACTCCAACCACTGCCACGCCTCTCTTAGTCATCTCTCGCACCATAAACCTCGAGGAAACAAAAGCACATGACCTATTCATCGCCCTTCTATTCGACCAAGACCGGAGGCATGAAGGTCACTTACGCGACCTTCCCAGGCATGAAGAGGAGAACAGGAATGACAGGTGAATCTTTATTTCCATGCAGGATGAAGCCCATGGCTTTCAGCTTTTCTCTAAAGTAGCGCGTGTTGAAAGCCAATTGCGCGATCCTCTTTTGGCCTGGGCAAAACAGCATCATCACTGTGTCAGACAGATCATCGAGCATTGTGAGGGTAAAAGACGAGGGGAAGAACGTGGGCGATATCCACCTTCAAGAGTCCCGTCTTCTCCCATGATGATCTTCATGGAGGTGGCGATCTGCTGAATGACAGGTGGGGACATGGATGTGGCATACGTTGCTGCGTGGGATACCGTCCTCAAATGATCGATCAACTCCTGTATCGACAAATGAGCAGTGAAGGATTAACAGGATTCACCTCATTAACAAGACCAGGAAGCTCAGAAGAGAAATGGATGAGTGAGACCATGACTGACTTTGGATCCTGCAATGTATCCACCAGAAGAACCAAAGCTTTTTGTGAATGTCCCCATCATGACATCAACATCTTTTGGGTCCAGCCCAAAGTGGTCAACAACCCCTCGCCCACGGGGCCCCATTGCACCAATGCTGTGTGCCTCATCCAGGTACACGTATGCCTGATACACACACGTGCAAACATTTGCTAGCGGAGTCACCGAAGAGGGTAGCCGAAAGCCAGAAAGTCTAAGTACGATTAGATCAAACGGTTCGAATTGGAATCTCAATTGCTTTCTTTAGCATCATTAAATGTTCTCATCGATTTACATTCATCTTGTATACTTTTTCCGAATTAGAGTGGCCGCGTTTCCTCGATCCTATAGATCATGCCCTCCGGAGTTTTCCGGGAATCCATATAAAAACACGGGACGGTTGACGACCCCAGTACCGATACGATATACATACCAGCCAACAAAACGCATTCACCATAAATCAGGTAGTTACATCCAAGTTATATCTCCCCCAGCCATCAGTCGACATGGTATGTGGTAACCGGTAGAAGCTGCCGGTCGTCATCCGTCACGGAGTAGAAGCTCTTCGACCTTGGTCTCTGTCGATGGAAGCGAACTCAAACGATAACCTCAGTTCCCTTGCTTTTCCAAATTCAATTATATCGGTCGGAACGACAGTCGACGGAAAGCCTGAGCGACCAACAAATTGGCCCCCAAATGGCAGGCAAGCTAATGGTAGAAACGTCTTGAAAATATTATTCCTCCTTTTGCTTACACGTCTCATTGAGGCGCCGTCAGAAGAACGCATTCCTCACTCTTGCAAGGTCCCTTGCATTGCGTTTGGGATTAAAATTCGTAGACGAGTATTTTTCTTGAGATCAAGGCATCGTGGACGAGCAGTCCAATGGCTGGGGGACCGTTGCGCAGAGGAAGGAGGGGAAAAAAAAACACCGTTACGGACACCGTAAAGGTCCATCGGTCGTCGAGACGTATCTTCGTCGATGGTAAGGAACAAGTCTTAGGGGTGACATGCACCGGATTCGTTCAAGTTAAACTAATCTGATCTCACAATGGTCCCCTAGGGAAATCAGTTTAACATCCCATAGATTAACATCCCATCCAATCTTACTCCCATAGACGCCCATTATGAAAACGAATCAGTTTAAAGTTAAAGGGATCTGGTGCATGTCACCCTAGGACTCGTTCGCGAATCTTGAAATGGAACCGAATGGAAAGATGGACCGTCCTAGTGTCCTTGAGAATGAATGATAGAGATCGGTGAAGTGGCATCCCCAAACGATGCGTTCACCAGTAAAACTCCATCTGAGATCCCATTCTGCAGATTTGCTTCCGATCGCTGCATGAAAAAAACGACTGCGGAAACATTTCCAGACGAACATTTCCTTAGAGCCGAACCCGTGGAGGAACACGAGGGAGGAGGTCCAATCCACCCACAGGCTTGGCAGTGAAAAGAGAGGGTGAAAGTGGAAAATTTCCAAAAATAAGTCTAGCCGTATTGGTTAGAATTCTTTCAAGTATTTCGCTTTCCTCCTGGATTATGTGAATAACGACGCACGAAAGCATTTCCAGTTCCAGACACGGGATTTTTTTCATGCCTTTTCTAGACGCTCCGTTCGTCGACTCCAGTTCGACAAGGTTAAGAGCGTAAAAGATATGAAGCTATGCAGATCACCATCTCCACGTATTAGTGGGCACTCGGTGTTTAACGAAAGCGTTACGTTTTAAAGCATTCTTGATATTCCTTTTTGCTTGTGAGAATCCCTGAACGATGCAGGACGGGAAAGGGGGGGAATTGCCTATAACATATTGAATTATGGAAAGCATGCGGTGCCCAGGGACAGCAGGTTCTTCTTTTCCCTGAGTGACCCTGGTCATTCATGTATCGACTATGTAGAATGTCACACTTTTCATTATTTATTATTATAAGTAACGTGAGTTTTCCACGATCTCGAAAGTCGATTTGCCGAAGTTTCTTACCTTCGAAGTTTCCTACCTTCAAGGTTGAGACACGCGATCTTTCTAAGCAGATAAACCCTCCGTATATAGATTTACAGAAAGCAGGAAGCCCATAAAAGGAGTGAAGCCTACCTTGTATTTCCTCTTGAGTTCGAGGATTTTTGGTAGGTTCACGATGGATCCTTCCATGCTGTAGATGCCCTCAACCACGATGAGGATATTCTTCCATGGCCGATGGGTTTTCGGCTGACCCTGAACGATTGCATCTCTCAGGATTTCCTCCAGGCTTTCCATGTCTATCGTGAAACACACATCCTGGTCGACTTCGGTTCGGCTTACCTTCTTCTCACAGGCCCAATTTAACGGTTCAAATTAATAAGTAATCCTGAACATGCAACAATAGGTCGCATACCGTGATGAAGCCACGATTCTGAATTTGCGTTTCTTTAGATGAAGTTCTCCAATGCAACGTTCTTCGATGCGGGAAGAACGAGGACTGCATTTTCAATGATGAATATATTGGGGATAGCTATCCGTTCGGTATACTACAGTCCACACATGATATACTATGCCTGGACTGTAGTACACCGCATGACTATAACTAAATATGAATCTAGGACATCTCTTGAAAGGAGGTCGACTATGATGACGATCGGTTTCATCCTGCTAAAATACTTTTTGGCTTGACCAATCCGTGGGTACTTGTACTTTTTGGAAGAGGTCTGGGGAGTAAAAGCATTCCATTGACTGTTGTATCCGCCTGGCCTCCTTTCACTCGTCTTCTGAAGGCGTGCATCAGTCGAATCTGGACACTTTGAGGGTGCCATTGCTGAGCTAGTCGTCCTAACTTGGATAAAACCTGTGGAGTAGGTCCATAAACCGTTTCAGGGTTCGACCGTCCTGCAAGCGAGTCGTAATCCAAACGCAGGATAATTACGCTTTCCCGCTTTCATTGGCACCCTCATCCACCACGGTCGAAGCGAGGGATAAAAGCAAAATCGGCATGGTATAAGCATGCCAACTTTCGCAGTCGTATTAGGTATGCATTACGCTTTCCGGGAGGAAAGCGTAATGCTTACCTGCTTAACCCAGACAGCACAAGTGAAAAAAACTTGGTTGGTGGGCGAGAGGGGAGGGAGTGGAGGCGGTCTTCTCGATCAGACTGAGTCATGAGTGGATTGCATGAAACTGACTTTAATGTAATGGAGCTTTAAACCTCCTTTAGCGGTGCTAATGAAAGTTTAAAGCTTCATTACACAGTCAGTTTTACGCAATCCGCCCCATAACATTATAGCTCCAGAATCCTTTCAACATAACTAAATGTTCAGAGCACACACCTTGACTAATTGTGGGAAAAATCAGTAAAGGAAAATCAAGGGACGAATGAAATGCGACCGGGCATTTGGGATAAGTAATTTCTTGCGCAGCCACTGTACCCGGAAGCTTCATGCCACCTTTACGATAACGTGAAGACTAGGTGGTTCAAAGAGCAAATTGGGCGGTGGATGAATACCGAATGTCCTTCCCCCCCTTCCCCCCCGCGTTCTCTAGCTCCAGAGGGGGAGAGAGAGAGCTCTTCGTTCATTTCAACGGTGCACCTCTCCCAGCATAAAATCTCCAGCTACAACCAACCGTTTCCTAACTGCGTGCTAGGGCTGAAGGAGTATTACGACGCCTGAAGAATGAAAGGACCTCTTGCCAGCTCTAGTGCATTGTGCAATAGGGGTATACTCACCCTACGGACTCAGTCTGATAAACGATCATCTCCTTTCCTGTTTCCTTTTTTCCTGACAGGATCACCATTAGATAAGCGTAGCTAACAAACCGACCTTGGAAGTAGTCAATCCGGCTTCGTCTCTTTCGTTCGTCTTCGTACGACTATTGGATTTTTCGCTTGTTTCGCCTGCGACGAATATGGAATGCAGCGTGCTTTCCCGTTGACCTTTTAACCCCTCCGTGCCGATGACGGGCCGCACCCGCATTTCTACACGGAGCCAGCTTTCTCATAGGGTAATTGATTATTTAGATAATAATGCAAAATGTATCTATTGGAAAATTGCAAAAAACCGCACCAATAATAATTTTTTTTCAGGAGCTTCATAACGTACGTTCAGTACGTTCATACGTTCATACTTCATAACGTACGAGGTATGTCAGACGGTGTGAAGCGCACAGTCAGAATATCGGGATAGAAGAGCTGCAGCGTGCCGATAGTTCCGCTAATAGCTCTGCCAATTACCCGGTCTAAGTATACTTTTCGATTATGATCGAAATATCATAACAACTCAGTCATAATAACTTGATCTGGGTCGAAGTATCGAACCAAAATATCAGATAGCTCCATCATTATAACTTCGATGATAACTGACGTCACGCTGCCATAGGCCCCCCTGTCGTCTGTCGTCAAAGATGGCTCCTTATTAAACTTCCATTATCCCATGTGTCTTTCACGTGGACAGTTGCTCCATTGCATATTTCTAACTTTACCACCTCGACTGTTTGGAGACATAGCGCAGCAGTTACCGACGGTGACCTCGTGTCTTTCTTGTGAAAAAGGATTGGAAGATGGAGGAGAGTTGCGTTGGTCCTAGGCCTCGTGTAAGGCGTTATTACTCGATTGATAAAGCAACAGCTCTCATTAGAATATGGGATGACAAGTGCCCCCAAGCGTTGTTCGAAACTGGAAAAGTGAGGAATAAAACCATCTGGATATCTGTGGTTGTGATGGCCAGGAAAAGGGCCAGAGATGACTGAATTTGTCGGTGGTAAAGTTAGATGTCGTTCTCACTTACGATTTCGGTCTAAGTATGAAAATTCTATCAGTTATAGGGGTCCTGGAGGGCTATCGAGTTATGATGATCAAGTTATCAGTTATGTGGGTCTAAATATGGTTTTCGATCATGATCGAGTTATATTTTGATCATGATCGAAAAGTACACTTAGACCGGGTAAATAGTTCCAAGAGGAAAGATTTATGTTGTGATGCGCTTGGACAACGGCGCTCGCAGTGTGCCGTTGTTTACTGCCTCGAGTTTAAGCTGCGATTAACTTGGACGGCACATGTGTGTCTGTAAGCCCAATACAAGTTAAAGATTCGATTATTTAACCACTTCTAAGAGCGAATGACGTCTAATTCAGGGTCTCCCAAGCATTGCCTGACTAGCGAACATCCAATTGGAGCTGGTAGGACTTCATTCTCAAGAATAGAAGAGGCCCATTTGACTTCCGAACCGGGAAGTTCGCATCGATTCCGTAAATAGATTTAGATTTACCCAATACGAGACTGTGTCCAATAAATTCTGCGTTCCTCACCATTATGTTTGAAGACTTGAATGGAGGCGCCACTGAGCCGAGCTCCGAGAATCAAGGAGGCATGGTTGCACTGATCCGAGACGATGAGACAACCCTTGCTCACCAAGCCTGACATGTTCGAGGCATTCGTAGCAAAGCCCATGCCGAACGTGATGGCATCCTCCTTCCCCACGAATCGCGCCACTTGCTTCTCCAGCTCGACGTGCAATTCCAGGGTTCCTCAAAGTCGGAGGAAAGAAAATAGGAGAAAGGCCTCTGCCGATCACTTCGAGTAAAACGATGGATCGTGAAGCCAAGATTAAGGCGAGGGACAAACCACTTTCATTTCGGGAGGATGCCATCCCAATACCCCACTGACGAATGGATTCTTTTGTCTCTTCGAAGCAGGGCCCAGAGTTTTGGGCAAATCCGAGATAGTTGTAGGAGGCCACGTTGATGCACCGCGTAGTCGTTCCCGTGAATCTATTCGCAAGAGATGGAACAGGTCCAGCAGCACAACGAAAATCTCAGCTGGAAACAACTATTTTTTTCCAGTTGGACCACAGCTGGTAATGCAGACTCATTCCAGCCAGAGGATCCTCATTAGGAACCAGATGTTTCAGTTTCAATGGATCTGAATTACCCAACTATGGTCCAGTTGGAAAATAGGAGTTGGGCTTCTAAACTGGGTTACTAAGGTGAAGGCAAAATAACGAGTAGAAAGAGCCCTCACTGAAACGTTCTTCCTCGATCATACGAGACCCGATCCTTGAGGACGACCTCTTGCCCAGGGACACTGCAGATGGGGCGATCAAAGCAATCACGCACCAGAGGAAAGACATTCCTTGCATAAATGCTCTGAAAGCTTGAATATAGAGGCACATAGCCCTAGGAAAAAAAAATCAGTGTTGAGTGTCTCGAGATAGGAGGAAAAGGGAGACAGGTTGATTTCTCACCTCTGCATGCCTCGGATCAGCATTCTCAGTCCAAATGATTCCGATCATATCGTAAAATTTCTTGATAACTCCAAACATAACGCCTATGACAACTACAGATAGATACGCGAGGAGCTTGACGAAGAACGAAGGCTCCTCTAACTCCTCTTCCTTCAAGTCTCTCCAATTTTTGCGTGTTGGATGAGCCTGGCACATCTTTTTCTCATCACATTCCTCTTGTAACTCTCTGGATGCACTATTACTTCCAGTCACCTACCATGGAAGAAAACCAGAAAGGCATCTCTCGAGTGGAGCTATTCATCGATGATGATTCCTTCCAAACCAGCATCCATCTCCATAAATGTCTCTGTATCTTTTCTTCAACGTCTTGACCAAAAAATACATACCAGGTCCTGTGCTCCTTCCAGCGAAAAATGGAACTACTCTTTTCTATTGTCACGGTAAGGGAGTAAGAAACATGTGACCCAGGTGATAAAAGGGGGGTGATTGACTCCTAACCTATACTTTCAGCTTCCACCGCTAGATGTCGCTAGCGAGCCCCGATGATTGTGAATAGTAGGCGTACATAAAAGTAAAATTTAAATTTCCAACTCGGAATGAAATAGCCAGGGAAGCCTCTAGTAACCCTTTGGCTGACAGTTGGAAAATGGAGTGGAAGTGTCCTGGCCCGAAGCCTTGAAGGACATCAGGTCCCGTCAATGACGGACTCACGGTCCCTACGGGGCTTGCACACTCGAGAATACCCAGGGAGTGCAGTTTACACAGGGAGATCCTTAGCTAGAGTCCACACCCAGGCTTTAGCTTGTCCTCACCGTGCTTTTTTTCGGTCAGGTCAATCCTTCACCCCATCTGCCGGGGCTCTTTGTCCCGGCAGACCATCAAATTGTCTTTGTTAAGACATATCCCTCTCTCTCTCTCACACGGCTCCTGATTTATTAATTACCCCTAAGGACCTTTGTCTCTAACGCTTTTCTCTCCTGCATTCTTGCCTCTAACCTTCTG